GAAGGACCCGAGTTCGATCCCTGGTACCAAAAAAAAAAAAGAAAAAGAAATAAGATACTTTCATGACAAAGAATGGGTCAAGAAGCAAGACCCAACAATATGCTGCATATAAGAAACACAATTCAAAAAGAAACTCATAGACTGAAAATTAAAGAGTGGAAAACAATACTCCATGTGACAGGAACCCCAAGAAAAAGCAGGAGTGGTTATCCTCCTTGCAGATCAAGTGCATGTCAAAATGTCAAACACTTCTGGTCCCATGAATTTCATATAAGGGACAGTCAACTTGTATGTACAAATCTGTTGAGAACATGTGTTTTCATTTCTCTTTAAGTAAAAACTTAAGAACAGAACTGTTGGTTCTTAACAGTAATACAAGAAATTTCTATATTGTTTTCCAAAATGGTTTTATCATTTTACATTCACATTAGCAGTATTAGAAAATTCTAACTGGTTCACACCTAAGCGGACATTTGTTCTTTTAAAACTTCTAACTTAGGGCTGGGGATTTAGCTCAGTGGTTTCGCCGTCTGCTGCGCAAACGTGAGGACCTGAGTTTGATCCCTGGTACCAAAAAAAACAAACAAAAAAACAAAAAGGCCTTCTAACTTAATCTCCCTAATGAGTGTATAATATGACCTTGTTATTGTACTGATTAGTATTTTTCTAATTCTAGTGCTGTACACCTTTCCTTGTGCTGTACTTGCTATCATCTTGTGTCTACTTTTTAATTGGGTTGTCTATTAATGAGCTATAAGAGTTTTTTATATATTCTGATCGTAGGTTATATGTATTATAAATATGTTCTGTTTAAGGACTACTTTTCATTTTCTTTTTTTTTTTTTTGGTACCAGGGATTGAGCTCAGGTCCTTGAGCTTGTGAGGCAGGTGGTAGAATCACTGAGCTAAATCCCTGGCCCCTACTTTTCATTTTCTTAACAATGTCTTTTAAAGTTCTAAATTTTGATGGAATTTCATCAATTTTTTTCTTTTATACATCATGTTTTTTGTGTCCTAGGAAATTCTCACCTACCCTAAATTCATGAATATTTTCCCTTATAATTTCTTCTTAGAGTTTTATAGTTTTAGTCTTTCATATTTAAGTTCATAGATCCTTTCAAGTTATTTTTAATGTATGGAAATAAACAGTTGAGGTTAATTTTTTACATACAGATACTAGGTGTTCTAGTACCATTTGTTGAAAACATTATCTTTTCCTCTGCTCTTAGTTGAGTTTATGTTCTATAAAATGTTAATGTTAAATAATCTTTCAAAAATCAGTTGACCATATATGTGTGGTTCTATTTCTGGATTCTCTGTTTTATTCCATTGATGTCTATTTCCACACGCCAACATTGCCTTGATTACTGTAGCTTTAGAGGAAGTCTGAAAATTAGGTAGTAAATGTCTTCCAACACTTTTTTTCTTTTTACTTTTCTAGGTCCTTTTATTCCTACATAACTTAAATTTCAATATCCAAGTCTTCATATATAGCAAGTATACATAGACCTGAATTATTTTATATACCTTAGGTTTTCTAATGCTGTTAAATTCAAATACAAGTTCTAGTGGCTCCTAGAGATTTCTTAGTATTTTCTGTAGATGATCATTTCATAAAAATCATATAAAGATTTTAATCTTTATGATTTTAATCATAAAATCATATAAAGATTTTAATTCTCCCTTGCCAATCCTATGCTATTTGTTTATTTTTATTGCCAGACTATTTTGGTTGGGGCCTGTGTTTCAAAGTTTAATGGACAGGTGAAGAATAGGCATATCTGCCCTTGTTCCCCACCTTAGGGAGAAAGCATTGTATCTTTTCCATTCATATAAGGCATTTTTGCTGGAAGTATGGAGTGTATGTCTTTTATCTGTTGAGAAGGTTCTGTTCTATTTTCTAGACTCCTGATAGCTTTTACCATGAACAGTTGTAGAATTTAGTCCATTACTTTTTCTGCAACTACTGACAGTATCATATGGTTTTTTCCTTTCTTCTGTTAAAATGATGACTTTTGGGTGTGGATCTTCCAATGCTAAACCAACATTACCATCCCTATAATAGAACCACTTTCTACATCCTGCCAGATCTGACTTCTAATAGTTTGTTAAACAAATTTTTATCTATGCTCGTACTTTTTTCTTTTATTCTCTTTATCCAGTTTTAGTATTAGCACAATGTTGATTTCCTAACAACACTGGGAGAAGTGTTCCTTCTTTTTTCTGCTTTAAATGTTTGATACAATTCATCAGTTAAAATGTGTGTGAGCCTGTTGTCATGTAGGTAGGTTTTCAAGCTAGAAATATACTTTCTTTAATAGGTGCTATTCAAATTTTATATTTCTTTCAGAGTCATGTTCATTAATTTGTCTTCCAAGGTACTTCTTAGAAGTTGTCAAATTTATTTCATAAAAGATTTTTGTGATATGCTTTCTATATCGTTTTAAATTCTGTAAAATCTGTGGTAATGTCCTCTAAATCTTGATATTTTAATTTTAAAAATGTATAATTGATATTGTATAATAGGAAGAAAAGGTTTAAAGGAGTATGGAAAGTGCGAGGGGTTGGGGAAAGGAAAGAAGGGAAAAGAAAAAATATGAGAAAAGGAAAAAAATGGAAACAAAGTCTTTGTAAATAAGGAAGGGTGGAGGGGCTGAAGGGAGGGCAGGGGAGTGGGGGGAAAAAAGAAGAACCAAGATACATCATGTAAAGGTACAAGATCCCAATGATGAATATAACTGTATTGTATACCTAAAATGTACCAATAAACTTTTTTTTTTTGTACCAATAAATTTAATGATAAAAGCTGTTTTTTTCTTAAATTAGGGTAAAAAAACTAAAAGAAGAATTAGTTATGAAGTAATCCAGGGCTAATATTTTGGTATATGTCCTTGCAGTCTCTTGATAGACCCACAAAACTTGGGTGTTTATGATATGTATACACATGCATACACACATGCCCACTTCTATACCTACACATACAAGTACATACCACAAAAATGAGATAATGTTATACATGTATTTTTGGCCTATTTTTACCTGCCATATAGTAAATATCTTTTCATGTTGTACACCTATATGGTTTTAATTGCTGCAGATTTTTCACACACACACACACACACACACATAATGTTTTATTTAATAAGTTCTTCATTGTTGGATCCTTAAGAGGTTTGTTTCAGGTTTTCATTATTAAAAATTACAGGAAAAACAAAATTACAGGGCCGGGGATTTAGCTCAGTGGTTTCACCGCCTGCTGCACAAGCGCAGGGACCCGAGTTTGATCCCCGGTACCCACACACACACAAAAAAAATTACATTAGCCAGGTGAGATGGCACACACCTGTAATTTCACCTACTCAGGAAAGTGAGGTAGGAGAATTGTAAGTTAAAGGCCAGTCTGGGCAATTTAATGAGACTATAAATAAGGAAAAATAAGAAATAAGAAAAGAAAATGGTGGTGATATAGCTCAGCTGTAGAGCACTTGCCTAGCATGCACAAGGCTCTGGGTTCATCCCCAGTACCGCAGGGGGAAAAAGAACATAACAACAATCCACTGAGTTTCTTAACACATTTATGCCAAAGATTGTAATTTTTTTGTTTTGTTTTGTTTTGTTTGCAGTATCAGGGATCGAACTCAAGACCTTGTGCTTGCAAGGCAGGTGCGGTGCCAGTAAGCTAAATCCCTGGCAATTTTTTGTTTTTGCATGAAATTCATATATGTTACCTAGAAAAATTCAAGGAACACGAATTTGAAGAAAAAAACCCCATGTGGGGCTGGGGATTTAGCTCAGTGGTTCCAGCGCCTGCCTCGCAAGCACAAAGTCCCAAGTTCGATCCCTGGTACCAAAAAAAACTTCCACTCTAAAAAACCCCATGTGCTCCAAAAATAGAACACAAGGCATTGAGGAATTAATGGGTGTTTCTGTGTTTCCCAGTTGTTTCTCCCTTCCCTCCTGTCCCCTCCCTTTCTCCTCCCCTTCCCCCCCTTTCTTTCTTTCTCCCCTGTATTGAGGATCTTTTATTATTTTTTATTTTTAAGACAGGGTCTTGCCACGTTACTAAGTTGCCCAGGCTGGGCTGGAATTAGTAATCCTCCTGCCTCAACCTCCCAGACTTGCCCAGTGGTTTACTTAGGATAATAATTTCTGTATAATTGCTATGTGAAAGATTATGTACTTGTAAAAATATTTGCTAGTCTGAGAGACAGAAAATGAGTTGAGTTTAAATTGCATGTATTGATAATGCATATTGGCTATTTTTAGTAATCTTCATGAATTTACGTATTTATATCTGTTGTCCAATTTTCCATTGAGTGCCCATCTTTTCGGTTTTATTTGTAAGATTTTTTTTTATTAGAAAGTTAACTTCTTGATTATGTTTCAAACATTGTTCCTGGTTGATGTGAGTTACACCTTTAAATGGTTTTATTTCCCCCACCCTCTGCCCCATGCAAAACTTTTCACATTTCCTGGAGTCAGATGGTGGCTAGACTGCTTCATCACTGTTTTTAATGGTTGAACATTTGTCTGAGTTGGGTATACCAGAATTTTCTTGTTTAGCATCAAATTTAAGGGTGCTTCAAAGGCTCAGATATGTTATCCAGTGCTTTTTCAGCTTTTCTGTCTACTTTCTTTTTTAACTAGATGCTAATCCTGAGGTGACAATGACAATGCTTCGCTGGATCTATACGGATGAATTGGAGTTCAGGGAGGATGATGTGTTCCTGACTGAATTGATGAAACTAGCAAATCGGTTTCAACTACAGCTCCTTAGGGAGAGGCAAGTCACAGCAGATATATTCAAGCACCTCAGATGGTGGTGGCTGAGCTTTAATTATGCCAAGCTCTGGGAAAACAGCTTCTTCTGCTAATGTAAATAACTTTTGCAAGGTGTTCTTGTTAAAGGTGATGGTGGGCTGGGGATGTAGCTCAGGGGTAGAGCGCTTGCCTAGCATGCGCAAGGCCCTGGGTTCAATCCCTAGTACCCCTAAATATATTAAAGGTGATGGTGGGCAGAGAATCTGACATCACCCTTTTTTGGTGTAACCTTGTAAGCTAAATTTTGCTAATACTTTTTGGTATTCTCTTTTTCTTTCACTTGTCTGTTACCTGAGATTACATCACTGTGTAAACTGATAAATTGAATATGAAATAATGCAATCCAGTGTTCAAACTGTCAACTTTCCTTCCATTCTATTTTCTGTTACATTTTATTTCACCTTTTTATAAAGCATGTTAATACTTAAATTAATTAAGCAGTTATAGCCAATGTTTCTAAGATCTCATTTATTTATTTTTGTCTCACTTCATTTAAGTAACTGTACTTTAGGTCCTGAGTAGATAGCTTACTATGTTTTTTTTGTTTGTTTGTTTGTTTGTTTGTTTGTTTTGGTACCGGGGATGGAACTTGGGTCCTTGTGCTTGCGCAGCAGGCGGCAAAACCCCTGAGCTAAATCCCCGGCCTGCTTGCTGTGTTTTTTTATAGTGCATTTTCTCTGTTGTTGTCCCAAGTTGGCATTTTAGGACTACAAGAAACAAAATATACACGAACTGTCAGGCAAATGTCCTTGAGCATTTGTTGGAGCTGTGGCTCTTGGTGGTCAGCTTGGTTGATTAGAGTGTCTTTTGACATCACTTAGTGATTTTTTGTCTTCTCTTGGGTGCATGAACAAATGACTTTTCTCATGGGTGGGTGAAGGACTGGTTCCAGCCCCTACAAGATGCTCCACCTGTTGCTGTGTCGCCTTGCCCGAGAGAGCCAAGAGAGACTGCTGCCTAGAGCTGCTTGCTGTTTTCACTGGAGTGTTGTTTCCTCTGGGGTGGCCCATGGTCCACCCATGTGAATTTGCACATAGCGTACAACAACCTAATTGATGTGAGCTCTGGAGAGCATTTTAATACCTAAATCCAATGTTAAGAAAGCATCCAGGGTCTGTAGAATAGGTTTTAAGCTGAGTGTTTATTAGCAAAATAGAATTAAGTTATTAGCAAAGTTAACTTTACTGTCAAGGCCTTGTAATTAACTCTTTTCTTTTGCTCTTTTTGTGAATTTTTCAACCATCCACAAGTGAACTGGGACTGCTTTTAATTAGATTGAGTATAATTTATATCAAAAAAAATTTTTTTCAGATTTCCTGTGGTTTCTTTCATTGACCATGTCAGACTTGCTTATAAATTAAATTGTTTCGATAAAAATGCCCTAGGGTTGGTGTAGCTTAGAGAATTATATTGTGTAACAGATTTTAGTTAAAATGTTGTTTGTTGACTGATTAGGCTTTATAACTATCAACATTACCAGATCCTCAAATACGAACCATTAAATGTGCGTATTAAGTTGTTATCTGTCATGGCTTTAAGAGCTGGAATGGAAGAGACCCAGAAGTGGATTCAAATGTTGGCCCTTAAAAGGTCAGAGCGCTCACTACTGTCAGGAGGAGAAATGACATGTTTATGATAGTAAGTGAAAGAACTCTTGACAAATGTGTACAGTCTAATATGAAGCAAGTGTTGCTTATTTCTTAAATGTAGGAATCTCGATGGTTTTGGAATGCCATCGTCAATTCAATGAAAGGGAAAGGTTTTGATTTATCAGGAAAATATTCTTAGTTTTAAAAATAACATAGAAAAGTGAGTTAATATAGTAATTTTTTTATAAAAGCGTAATACATATTCATTTGGAAAATTCAAAATTACACAAAGAGGAAATAAGTCATCTGTAACTCAACCATGGTTCCTTAAGTTATTTTTCCTTTCAATAATTCCTCTGTTTCTCACATACATACAGGAATTGATAGGAAAATTGGACTAGGTTTTGAGGGATGCTTAATTTGTACTTTAAAAATTAGTTTTATTGTGTTTCTACATCCTTTTTTTTTTTTTTTTTTTTTTCTTTGCTGTACTAGGGATTGAACTCAGGACCTTGAGCTTGCCAGGCAGGCATGGTGCCACTGAGCTAAATCTCCAGCCCAATATATTATAGATATTTTGGATGGGCTTTTAAAATACAGCTTTACATATTGAGTTATAATTCATATACCATACAAATTTGCTTTTTGGGGGGACTTTTAAGGAAGCATTAATTTCTTGAGCTGTGCTGGTAGGAATACAGATGTGTCCCATATGATTAAATGTCAAAAGCCTGAAGTCAGTCTATCATTGTGTTAGATTTTAAAATTACCTGTGTATATGATTGGTAAGTTTCATGTGATTACTTTTAAGACAGTGGAAATCTTACGCTTAACAAGTTTATTTGGAGATTATTTTGATTCTTACCAGAATTGAGCAAAATAATATCATAATGGCCAGGTGTGGTGATGGTGGCACCGCCTGTAATCCCAGCACTTGGGAAGCTGAGGCAGAAGGATTGCTGCCAGTTGGAGGCCAGCCTGGGCTACATAGTGAGTTCGAGGCCAGCCTAGGCCACATAGTAAGACCCTGTCTCAGAACAACAAACAAACTAACAAAAAATAATATCAGTGAAATTCTAGTAGTTTTAAAATATGAGAGCCCAGCTATTAATTTATTCAAAGCCACTTACCTTAACCTTACACCTTGTACCATAGCAAGCCAGAACACAGATTATTACTTCGATTTATTCATTTATGAATATATTTGTCTAAATATTTGCATTATTAATATTCTCTTATAGATGTGAGAAGGGCGTTATGTCTCTGGTGAATGTTAGGAACTGCATTCGCTTCTATCAGACTGCGGAGGAACTAAATGCCAGCACACTGATGAACTACTGTGCAGAAATTATTGCAAGCCACTGGGTGAGTGAAAGACTGAAGGGAGTGGTCGAAGCCCTCTCATGAGCAGTTGGAAAACCCAGGGAGGGGACCCACTTCTGTAGGCAGTCACCTCTCTGATACCTAGCTTTCTCTTGTTACACTGTTGAAGAATAAGTAGTCGCATTAGATGATTTGTGAAACTTTTTTCAGTTCTGAAGTCTGATGGTTCTGTGATTTCAGAGTGGAGGGACAGAAAGTAGTTCCAGTTCAGAAATAGGATTGGAAGGAGGGGTACCTGCCTTTCCCCTTCTGTGGACACTGTAACCATGTTACAGAAGTAGGATGCTGTTGTGTGGCAAGCAAGCCTGGGTACTCAGCAGTGTCATTTCAGTGTTCTCTTGCTTTCTTTTTCAGGTGGAGACACAATTAAACTTAGATTTGCCTTTCTTACCTAGCTTTTATTAAACAGATCAAGTTTACATTTCTTTATTTTGGTACTGGGGATCGAACTCAGGACCTTGTGCTTGCGAGGCAGGCGGTGGCACCACTGAGCTAAATCCCCAGCCCAATTTTACATTTCTTTGTTTTGTTTTTTTCACATTTAAAAAAAAATCGGGAATTTATTTATTTATTTATTTTTGCCTTTTTTGAGGTGGGGTCTTTGTAGTTCAGTCTGGCTTTGAACTCTGTGATCCTCCTGCCTCAGCCTCCCGGGTACTGGGATTATATGCGTGCTCCACTATGCCTGGCCAGGGCTGTGTTTTTAAATTAGTTTCTGTGAATTGTTTGGTGTACAACAACATTGTAGAAAGAGTCTTAGGGTTTCAGAAAAGATAGCTAAAAGAACTGGCTTTTAAAGAATTGAAATAGGACTGTGATAGCACATAATCCCAGCATTGGCAAGGCTGAGGCAGGAGGATTTTGAGTTGGCAGTCAGCCTGAGAGCTACATAGTTCAAAGCCAGCCTGAACTACATAGTGAGACATTGTCTCAAAAAACTACAAAAAAGAGAGAATTGAAACAGGAGTGGTAACCTATCTCTGTTGGTAGGTAAAAATAAAGAGATCAGTAGAAGAGACAACTGTGACTCGGGGGGAGAGTTGTTTGTAGAAGTTCTGATTAATTTTGTAATTGCCGTCTTGGTAGGCTTGGGGGAGGGCTTGCGCATGGTGCTAGAGCTGTCCCGTCTTACTAAGAGGCACAATGGCGGTGTCACAGAGTGCAGGCACAAGAGATGGGCCTCTTGGCTCCAGATCCTAACTCAGCTGTTCAGTCATGTCTAAACATGTGCAAGTTATTTAGCCTCTGTGCTTTACTGTCTTCTGTAAAGTGAGGATGGTAATAGGACTTACTTTGTAGGGTTTTTGTGAGGATTGACTTTCTTGAGAAATGTTAAGCCTTTAAAGTAGTACCTGACATTCACAGGCTTAAGGCTGAATAAATGACAGTTTGTGTTATTGTTAATACTTTATCTGTTTTTCTTTTCACTGTTTTTAATCACTAGGATGATTTACGAAAGGAGGACTTCAGTAGCATGAGTGCTCAGTTATTATACAAAATGATCAAATCCAAGACAGAATACCCATTACATAAAGCTATCAAAGTGGAAAGAGAAGATGTGGTCTTCCTTTATCTGATTGAAATGGATTCACAGGTACTTTTCCATTTTTTTCTTTATCTAAAACCATAATCCTCGAGTTTTTTCTGCAGTGCTCTCTTCAGTTCCTTCTGAGCCATGACTGGCACAATCTTTAATGTACATGTTTCTATTAATAGCTTGCTCAAGGAAATCTGGGCTTGTATTCTGCCACTCAGGATTCTTCCAGTCTTAGTTCATTGCCCAATTCAAAAGCTATTTCCACGTTTTTCAGTAGTTGATTTAGCAGTATCTGACTTCCAGGGTCAAGGTGAGAGAAATTAAAACAGATTATATCTGCTACTCAGTGTTGACTTACAACTCTGTCTTTGCAGCTCCCAGGGAAGCTGAACGAAGTGGATCATAACGGAGATCTTGCATTAGATCTAGCACTTTCGCGACGACTAGAGAGTATTGCCACCACGCTGGTTAGTCATAAAGCGGATGTAGACATGGTAGACAAGAATGGCTGGAGCTTGTTACATAAAGGAATCCAAAGAGGTAGGAAGAAACATATCCTATATTTTTTTCTCCAGGCAATATTTTGTATCCATGTGGTTTTTTTTGTTTTTTTGGTTTTTTTTTTGTACTGGGGATCGAACTCAGGACCTGGCGAGGCAGGTGGTGGCACCACTGAGCTAAATCCCTGACCCTTATCCACATGGTTTTGAAGGCTCTCTGACTCAGTTCCAGAAATTCCCAAAGGTATCTTGAGTCTATACTTGGAGGCTACGTGACTAAGAATTTGTGGTCACTGGGTCAGAGGAGGAACTGAAGACCTATTGCTTGTGCCTTGTTAGTTTGACTGTTCATAGCGCCAACAGGGCCTGAGGAAGAAAGGTAGAAAGATGGCCTTTGAGAGGGGGAGTACCTTTTACTTGTGAGCAGTTGATACATTTACATGTTCAATAATTATCACTTCTCTAAGAATTTTTCTAGGAAGACAACTTTTGCGTCCCAGCATGGATGAAAGTATCAGAACCATGGAAGTGTTAAGTATATTCTTGGATTCAGAGTTTTCTCTTTCATAGTCTAGACTTCTGACACGGCAGAGTGATAGTTTTGTTTGAATGAACTTCTTGGCTATGCTGGGAGCCAAACCCAGGGCCTTGTGGATGTTACACAAGCACTCACTCTACGACTGAGCTGCCCTGAATTAACTACTTTTCAAGTTGGAAATAAAGGACCAGTTTTTTTGTTTTTCCTGTGTCCTTATTAATTCATATATCTAAAATGTTTAACTTTGCTCTGCTGTAGTCTTTTTTTTTTTTAATTTTTTTGAGACATAGTCTTACTTTGTAGTGCAGGCTGGCCTTGAATTCACTATGTAGCCCAGGTTGGCCTCAGACGCACAGTGATCCTCCTGCCTCAGCCTCCTGAGTGCTAGGATTACCGACATGTGCCACCATGCCTGGCTTGCTGTGGTCATTTTTTTTTTTTTTTTGGTACCAGGGATTGAACTCGGGACCTTGTGCTTGTGAGGCAGGCACCGGAACCACTGAGCTAAATCCCCAGCCCAGCTGTGGTCATTTTTGACAGAACAAGAGTGAAGAGGTAGAATTCTTATATGGAGTGAAAGTCCCAAAAGTGTAAAACCCTTCATTTTTGTAGAGAGATAGTTGGCTGGACTAAAGCATTTTGCCAAGGCCACTTTACTTATGGACAGCAAAGCCAGAATGTACTGGTTTTACCACATAGTAACCATGTTTATTTTAGCTTTCTGATTATGCATTATGATACTATTCCTGTCTCTGATATCTTTGCCATTCACAAGTTGCTCCTTGTTGGTGTAATGTTGTACTTCATTGTTGGTTTTGTTGCAGCTGTGGCTTTGTCCTTTGTGGGCAAAGGTTTTATTTTTCGGTAACGGGGATCAAACTCGGGACCTTGTGCTTGCGAGGCAGGCGCCAGAACCACTGAACTAAATCCCTGGCCCCAACAAAGGTTTTAATATAAATGCTCTTCTAAGGCACATGAGTATTGAGTTTGCTGGCTGGGAGAGAGGAAAATTTTGCTCATTATTGGGTAGGAAATCCTTAGAGCATGTCAGCATCAAGAGCAGATGCCTTTTTCCCAAGCACCGCTCTGCACTTCGCAGTCATTGGGTGTTCATCACTGGGGGTGTGTTCAGCGGGGAATGTTGCTACCACACAGGGAATTGTTCTTTCCCATGCTGTTTAGTGGCTGAGATGTTTATTTTGGAAACAAACACACTTGTTAACTGAAAGAAACAATTTGAGAATTATGTTTTTTTTACTCTCAGGGAGTTAAATTCTTATGTTTGATGCAAAACATTTTTGATGAGTTATTAAATATTTTGGTGATTGCTTAGTTACCACAATTGCCAAGAATTGGTGATACATTTTTGATACTTTCAGATGATTTAATCTTCCACTCTGAATTTATGAATTACCTACATCATGTGGGTTATAGAATGGACATAATAAACTTGATTGTTGCTAATTTTGGAAAGAGTGCCATGATGAAGTAGAAAGAGCAGTGGCTTTACAGAGTGGACATGCCGAAATTTGAGTCCTACCCATTTACTGTGTAGACAGTCTGACTACACCAAGTCTTCTTTTCCTCATCTGTAAAGTGGTAATGATTTCTGCTTTACTGAGTTGTGGGGAGGGTAAAAAACAGTGTTGGGATTGCATCTGGCTAACAGTTGACTGGTGAAATCAACTGGCTGGCTTTAATTTTGCCCTTGCCTGGCTTTTATTATTTGCCCAAACCAGATCCAATTCCTGTAGGAACTTTTACATTTTAAAAAAATTTTTTAAATTTTTTCACCTTCAACTTATTGTCAGTCTGTTGACTTGCTCAACTGATTAAATTGAGTAATACCAATAAATAAATAAATTGAGTAATACAGTAAGTTTAACTGGTAACCTTTAAATTCATTGTGATAGGAGTGAAGGGACATCTTTATTTTTTTTTAATTTTAATTTTTTTTTTAAGAGGAAAAATTTATTGAGAGAAAGAAAGCTTCTGCCTAAGAGACAGAGAAGGGGAACCAGAAAGTGGGTTGCCTGCCCACCCCAAAGTTCAAAGATGTTTTATACAGCAAAGCCATGTGGTGAGGCAGATACAAAGTAGGACAAAACTATAAGACTCAATGGAAATTTACAAGGTGGGCATGAGGTGGGACAAAACCATGACCAACCAATAAGATTACAAGTACAGTCACCCAGGTAATATTGATCAAATGGGGTAACAAGTCATGTAGCAAGCATAAAAGGATTTTTAGTAAGGGTGGGAATCAGGGATATTTCCTGGAGAGGCTGGGTTAAGATCTTGCCTGCCCCCCCCCAGGTGATTGATACCTGTTTAGAATATCAGTCACTGCTATTCGTCCTACATGGGTGTGCTAATTTCTCTCCCTTTACAGTGCTGGCCTTCAGTGAATGTGTCTTCACTCTCCTCCATGTTGGCACCTTGTGGGCTGGCCCTGTTTTAACTGCCAACGAGATATCTAATTAACTTACCTATGTGCAATATTCCCCCCTCTGAAGAAGTACCCCTAACTGCTGTGAGGGGCCAAAGGGTGAAGACCAATCTGGCTACTTCCAGCCGAAGAGGGTCATAGTTGTGATCAGCAGTCAGTGTTACTCTACAGAGGGTCTATCTAAAGGCCTTCAATAGGTGCCAGGCATTGTCATCTTGGTAGCCTCATAGCTTTGAGTCTGGAGGAGACAAAGCCAAAGAAATAGTTAATACATGGGCCAAATTATAAGGTCAGCAGGATTGCTATGAATATATCCAATAAGGATTTCCACTGGGAGGCACTAGTAATAGCCTCCCACAAAGAGGATAAGGAGAAGGTCCAGGGGACTTCAGAATCCAACATAGAAGTCGTATTGTATAGTTTAGCAGTTATGATCTGTTTACAAGGTCGATCTGGTGGATCCCGGTAGAAGAATTCTAGCACATTTGTCATTGGTTCCATTTGTATGACTGCTTGGAGTTTGGCAGCCTCTAGGCAAAAATAAACAAAACTTTTAAGAAATTAGAGCGTGTATAATCTAAGCATGAGCACACTAGAATGGAAGGGCAGGCTGGGGAGAAAGTTGCACTTAGAAATTGAAATAGTGATTGTAACCTGCTGGCTCTTAGATTCTTTCATTGATAAAGTTTATGTATAAGTCTGATACTTTGTTATAAATCTCTCTAGTTTTAGCTGTAAGACGATATGAGACAATTTGAAGAACAAATCTCACTTAAGAAATTAAAAACTCTAGCTGAGCTTTTATAGATTTTACCGTAGTTTTTTCCTAATGATCCATAACTGTAGTCAGCTACTGGTGTAGCTAGAAACTGCCAGAAGGGGTCAGTGACTCGAGCCCCTTTTTATATCTAGCTTTATTATTATGACGTTATTTTATACCTCTTTTGGTTATTCTTTTCTGCTGGGTGTTTAAGACCAAGTTAAAGTGTCAATCAGTATGAACCTCTTGCTATCTATTAAGGTCAGTTAAGTCTCCTCACGCATTACTTTGGAACCATGCATAGAGCCTCGCAGCTCCTCTGTGTCAGCCATCAGGATGGGTCATGGTCTTGCTTGACCATGTTGCTTTCAATGAAAGCATGGAAGGTTTTTTCTCTTTGTGACCCTCCTTTGGCACACGGTACATTTGTCTGGTGCCCAGCAGTCTCCCTGCTCAAAAGGTTGAGTGACTTAGCAAAGATGTAGGATCCGGTAGAAAAGATTTCCTCATTTTCTGGATTCTTTGTTGACTTTGAGGGGCCAGGGCCAAAATATTGGCTGTTCTCATAGCCCAGTTACTTTTCTAGTTTTGGTCTCCAAACTTTAGTTGTTGAACGCCCAGAAGAGAAGATCAGTGACATAAGTATTTCAGTAGGAGCAGTGAACTTAACTATTATACTAGTTAAAACATCAAGCACTTTTGAAATATAAAGCACAGTTAGAAGGCTATTATTTCTTATCAACTATGGTTGTTTTAGTAGATGATCCCTGTAGAATGTTAGCAGACAACAGTTATATATTATAGAGAAACTTAAGATTAAGAGCTACACATATTATTTTAGCATGGCAATCGTGATGACATTTTCTTTGTAACACATGTCCATCTTAGTACAGAATAGTCTTTCAGTTAAACACCTCCATTTGATCACAAGACTTTAAATGACATAAAGAAAACTCTTTTATTTGTTATCCTTTAGTAGGATGCCATCTAAAGAGAACATACATATTGGCCTATAAATGCACCTTACAAGTTCATAATGTTTAGCCTGTAGTTTTAGTGTGTGACATTGTTTCAACTGTTTGGCAACTGAACATCCCTAAGTGTGGTGACACATATAACATACATCACATAAGTTTTTAAGAAAACTACTATTTGACTGGCTATCTCATGCTAGCTTGACATGTACCTCTTATCACAAGTAGCTGGAGTGCAAGAGAAAGGCAGACATCTGAGTCAAAAAAGATCATTACCATAAACAGTATCCTAGAGGACTTGTACACCCGGAAGGCACGA